CTCAGGATTGAAACGAGGGGTCCTTGGTGCTCTCTGAGCTTGGTGGGTTTCTTGCAGTCGTTTCATTACCCAGCTAGGTAACATCATCAGTGCTAGAAGGGAATGGAGTTTGTGGAGAGGAGGAGGAGGAGGAGGAAGACTGTGGGGTCCTTGGTGCTCTCTGAGCTTGGTGGTTTTCTTGCAATCATTTCATTACCCAGCTAGGTAATACCATCAGTGCTAGAAGAGAATGGAGTTTGTGGAGAGGAGGAGGAGGAGGAGGATGACAACGACTGTGGGGTCCTTGGTGCTCTCTGAGCTTGGTGGTTTTCTTGCAGTCGTTTCATTACCCAGCTAGGTAACATCATCAGTGCTAGAAGGGAATGGAGTTTGTGGAGAGGAGGAGGAGGAGGAGGATGACAACGACTGTGGGGTCCTTGGTGCTCTCTGAGCTTGGTGGTTTTCTTGCAGTCGTTTCATTACCCAGCTAGGTAACATCATCAGTGCTAGAAGGGAATGGAGTTTGTGGAGAGGAGGAGGAGGAGGAGGACTGTGGGGTCCGTAGTGCACTCTGAGCTTTTCTTTCTGTTTATAGACAGTAGCTTGCCCGCTCCCTTCTCGTACTGATGATGTTCCCCAGTTGGGTCGTGAAATGTTTACAAGAAATCAACCAAGCTCAGGGACCACCTTTCAACCTTGAGCTGCAAATCATTCCCTCCTATTGGTAAAGCAGAACAGACAGAAGACGCAGCATTGGAGATGATACCGTTTGTATCTAGAATTATTTGTAGGCGACAAAGTTTGGAAAGCAGTGGGGTCCCTAAGGAAGGAAGACTAAATGATGAAAATGCACCAAACCTGGTGAAGCGAACCAGTTTGGTCCGAGGGGAAGGAAACGGATAAAAGACTTTTCTAAAAGGCTGGAAACCTCATGCAGACTTTTCTTGATGAAAGAACAATAGATCAATTTTTTGTTCAGGCCAAGGGCACCTTTGGCTTTTGAGTGATAAGATTTGGGAGAGGGGGCAGGCAGGGGAGGGGGGGTTATTCCTGCTAGGACAATGAGCTAAAGTAGGCATAGCTAAAGCCAAACCTAATTTCATTTGAATGAAACATTGATTTAAATTTAATGGGCCTCATTACAGGCTGTTAATATGGCCCCTCTTGGGTTCTTAATCATTTTTCCTTTCAGTTCAACGGTGTAACTTGGTGACTAGCATTGTGGGGGGGGGGATTCAATCATATAGGGGTACACAAGGCACCCCAACTTCAGTTCATGGCGGCGTTTCTCATCCGTGGCAACCTGGAAGGTGGGTGGACTTCAACTCCCAGAATTCCCCAGCCAGCATGTCAAATCAACATGGACATCAGTTAATCTGACTGGTTAAAGTTGTATAACAGCTAAAATAAGGCCAAGATTAGACTCGATGGCTTGTGCTTCAGTGTATCAGAGGAACCTAGCCAGGGTCTGAACACTCAGGTTATCGTGCTAAGCCACCATTTGGCGAAACATGGGTTTAGCAGGTTATGTAACCAGAGGCATTATAGTTGGATTAACCTGTCTTAAGTTTTGTTCAGTGTCTCTTAACCAGGGCTGGCTGGTGAATTCTGGGAATTGAAATCCACCCATCTTCAAGAATGGGAAACACTGGTTTGTGGATTTCTGGAGAAAGGAAAAAAGGAAGGAAGGAAGGAAGGAAAGAGGGGGGGAGAGAAAGAGAGAGAAAGAGAGAGGGAAAGAAAGAAAGAAAGAAAGAAAGAAAGAAAGAAAGAAAGAAAGAAAGACAGAAAGAAAGAAAAAGAGAGAGAGAGAGAGAAGGAGAAAGAAAGAGGGGGAGAAATAAAGGGGAAGAAAAAGAAAGAGAGAAAGAAAGAAAGAAAGAAAGGGAGAAAGAAAGAAAGAAAGAGAGAGAGAGAGAAAGAAAGAGAAAGAAGGAGAAAGAAAGAGGGGAAAAAGAAAGAAAGAAAGAAAGACAGAAAGAAAGAAAAAGAGAGAGAGAGAGAGAAGGAGAAAGAAAGAGGGGGAGAAATAAAGGGGAAGAAAAAGAAAGAGAGAAAGAAAGAAAGAAAGAAAGGGAGAAAGAAAGAAAGAAAGAGAGAGAGAGAGAAAGAAAGAGAAAGAAGGAGAAAGAAAGAGGGGAAAAAGAAAGAAAGAAAGAAAGACAGAAAGAGGAAGAAAAAGAGAGAAAGAAAGAAAGAAAGAGAGAGAGAGAGAAAGAAAGAGAAAGAAGGAGAAAGAAAGAGGGGAAAAA